CAAAACAGCTCCAATCCCTACCGCTGAAGCATCAGTATGCACATGAAATGTTTTGCTAAAATCTGGAATTGCTAAAACAGGTGCTGAAGTAAGCATTTCTTTGACAGCATCAAAACTTCGTTGTTGGTCATCTGTCCACTGAAAATGCTTGCGTTTGAGGCAGTCAGTAATCGGTGCCAATATCACGCTGAAGCCTTTTATAAATCTGCGATAAAAGTTAGCTAAACCATGAAAACTTCTAATATCAGAAAAGGATTTGGGTACCGGCCAATTGGCGACAGCTGCAACTTTTTGAGGGTCCGCCTGAACACCTTCTGCCGAAACTATGAAGCCCAAGAATGAGACACTAGGGACTGCAAAGTTGCATTTGGCACGGTTCAAATAAAGTTGATTTTGTTCCAATGTCTCAAAGATGGATGTCAAATGCTGAATATGATCTTCCATTGTCGAACTGTAGACAAGGATGTCATCAAAGTAAGCGACACAGATTTTGTTGAGGAAAGGCTTCAAGATTTCATTCATCAGCCGCATGAAGGTGGACGGCGCATTGCACAAGCCGAAGGGAAGTACCTTCCATTCAAATAGTCCTTGCCGCGTTTTAAACGCAGTTTTCCATTCATCACCGGGCTTAATTCGGATTTGATGATATCCATTACGCAGATCAAGTTTAGAAAAAATTGTAGAACCCACCAGTCTTTCCAACAGCTCGTCCACCCGAGGCACCGGAAATCTAAACTTTACAGTAATCTTATTGATTGCCCTGCTATCCATGCACAAACGCCACTTTCCATCCTTCTTTGGCACAAGTAAAGCCGGCACTGCGCAAGGGCTCAAACTTGGTTGAATCAATTGCTTTTCTAGCAATTCATCAACCATCTGTTGCATTATAGTTTGCTCCGTGGGGTTCAATCTGTAATGAGGCAAATTTGGCAATACCGATCCAGGAATGAAATCAATTTGATGCTGCAAAGCCCTCAATGGCGGTAGACTGGCTGGTAACGTCTCAGATAGAATTTTCTGATAACGTTGGAGTAATTGCTGTACTGCTTCTGGAACTTTGTTTGAGCTGGAATTTTCATTTGGTTCTGTTACTACCAAGGCCAACATTATGGATGACTCCTTCCAAGCATTCAATAGTGCTGATCCAGTGACAAGTTGCAAGGCTGATTTCTCCTTGGAGTCCCATGAGTTTTCAGGTGGTTGAGATAAAAGCCTCAACTTTTTACCTTTCCATTCTAACGAATAAGTATTAGCCCTTCCATCATAAATAGCTCCGACATCAAATTGCCATGGCCTCCCCAATATAAGATGACATACATCCATGTCAACAACATCACATAACACCTCGCACATGTAATGTTTCCCGATTGAGAAGGATAGACGGCACATTTCAGTGACTGCAATGTCTATTCCTTTTTTTACCCAACTTATCTTGTAGGGATGTGGATTCTTGGTAGTCTTCAACTGTAAAGTTTGAACCATAGCTCGAGAAACCACATTTTCTGTGCACCCATTGTCAATCAACAATTGACATACCTTGCCTTTCACCGTGCATTTGGTTTTAAATATGGCATTTCGCTGTGAGTTAGTCGGTTGTCGAGGCGCTAGCAATAATTTTTCAAGGACACAGACAAGCTGTTCTCCTTCATCTCCTATTAAATCTTCTTGTTCAAAGTCTTGGTCATTTTCAAGATTCTCCTCTCCTTCCTCTGCCTCGGCCTCCAATAACTGAATTTGTGGCCGTCTTGGGCACTCATTAGACTTATGGCCTTGCTGGAAGCAGCGAAAACATTTGATAACATTGGGCTTAACATAAGGATTTTCCCTAATTGGAGCTTTAAGTTTCTGAGGCTGCCCCTTTGACTCCACGGTTACTGGAGGAGTGGGAGTATTAGCTGAATGAGAGGCCTGGGACGTTTTGGAACTATTAAGAGTTCTGTAAGTGTCAGCAGGTTGCTCAGCATATGATCGACGAACTTGTTGAGAGCGAGGTTGCCTAGATAACTGAATTTCAGCTTTGAGCGCAAAATTTACAGCCTGAGAAAGAGTCCAGACTGAATTAAGCTCCAACTTGTCTTGGATTGAATCCCTTAATCCCCCAATATAGCGAGCTACCAACTGATTAGTTGTCTCGTTCAAATTATTGCGTGCGCTCAATCGATAAAATTCTTCCGTATAATCGCTAACAGAGCGATTTCCCTGCGCACAATGCTGATATTGCAAATATAGCATTTGCTCATAATCTGTGGGTAAAAAATGTGAACGAAGAAGCTGCTTCATCCTATACCAGCTGCGTACCGAACCTCTTCCTTCGCGCCTTCGACTCTGCAATACTTGGAGCCACCAAGCACTTGCCCCTCCCTTGAGTCGGCACGCTACATACTTGACTTGTTTCTCCGGTTCTATCTCCATGTATTCAAAGAATGTTTCAACTGCGCGCTCCCAATCGAGATAATCCTCGATATGAAGTCTTCCGTCGAAGAATGGTATGTCTAATTTGACTCTGAATTCTCCTCTAGGCGGCTCTTGTCTGTGATTTCTGTTTCTTCTCATCAGCTCCGGCTCACTATCTGATCCACCTCCCATTCCTGGCCGAACGTTGCCCAGTTCCTCGTCGGACTCCGTGACGTCCGACGCGATATGAATTCTTCGTCGTTCTCTACCTGCGCCGTTCCTATTTCGGTGAAGCCGACCAGTAGCCAGAACTGCATTTTGCTGCGTCATCTCCGTTCTGATTGATAGGAATTCCCGCCTTACCTCTGTAGATAGACGGAACAAATCCGATGCTATTTCATCCAATTGCCGGACTACTTTAGAATGCGCGTCCCAAAGGGCTTCCAGGCTGTGATCTTCGTCACCAGCCCCGCGCCTACTGCAATCTGCCATGCCGAGCTCTGATACCAAGTCTGAAGCGGCACTGCGGAAGAAGCAGAATAAGAGACTACAAGCAATAGAACAGAGAAATAATTTCAGGGAAAATAAGCAGCTACCTCCTTCTTTAGAAAATATGCTTATATATGGCTTGGGCATGTGCAGCTACCCTCACCACTACAACTAAAAGGACAAAACGTCCACAACCAAAAGATGCTAACGGAATTGAAAATGCAGCAGGAGATAACAAAAGATGCTGACTAATAAACTGAATTTAAAATAAAAGAAATAATAATAGGTAAGATAAGCGCAAGGCAACTTATAGTTAAGATGCTCCGCATCAATCTCCCCCTTAGTTCCTCCTTACATAATAAATAATAGCTCTCATGGGCCTCACAAGGTGGGTCAAACTTTCCCCACCTGCTGCCCCTGGTTCCGCTCAGCCACATGGCTGGTTCGGCCTAGTCTGACTGGGCTAGCCTGGCCGAGCTAGTCTGAGCCGGGTGTATCATAAACCCTTCAAAGTTGCCAATCACGGTGATCTCTCTGGAAGTGTCAGGCACAAAGCTGCCTTGGCATTTGGGACATCCCAATATCAATTTCTAGGTTATTATGCAATCTGACATGCTGATCTACTCATTCTCATTGCCTATGTATATATGAAATCGAAGCATCATCCCTGCATTACTGCATTCCTAGCTCTGTTGGGGTCTTGGTGTCCAATATTCTCAGCATTGCTATCCCTCATCATCTTTGTCCTAACGATTATGGCAACCTGCCATGCACGGAGACATACATCCCATGATATCATGCTCTCGTAATCATTACCTTGTTAACTGATTTCATGCTCCACCAATAGTGCCATATAGTGGTTACACCCCAGGGAGTGGTTCTTTTTTAGAGTCTTATATGATCAAGGAAGGCATGATGGGGCAGGGGGTTGGAAAATCAAGGTTGGCAAATTGATTAATTAGCACATGCATCGACTACAAGATTCAAAGAAAGCCTTCAACAAGGTCGAGATTTATCTTGATTGGATTAGAGCTTGGTTACTTTCTCTCATTTCTCATTCACCTTTTGGAAATCTCTTTATAGTTTATTTGTAAGAGCATTCTTCTCTTCTCTTAAAGGGTGAAATTTATTGTAATTTTTCTCTCTATCCCCCTCTGTTGTGACCTTTTTTGTGAGATCCTATTCTTTCTAATCAGCTTAGAGACTCAATAAACCATTTTTGCGTGGTGGAAATAGGTCAATTGATCGAGCCACTCTAGAAGTTTTTCGTGTCCTATCTTGCTCTTCTTTACTTTTGTCTTGTTGATTTTTCCCTCTCCATCTCATTGAGTGTTATTCGAGGATTGCACATTTCCTCTCTATCATTCCACAAACCTTTGACGGATATATTTTTCATTATCACTTATGTTCACTTTAAACACCTTTCCTTATGAAGCCTCCCAAGGTGATAAAGAGAAGGGAGCTAGATATTGTTTTTCTTGAGGTAGATTATATTTGTTTTAACAAAAATTTTTCTAACATTTAGACCGAGTTTTATTCAGATATGGCGTAAAATTTTCTATGAGCACAAGCTCCCATAATTAATTCTCTCTTATGCTAATAGACTACTAGTTGCGAACTCTCGAGTAGGGAGGTTGTTTTGGCTCAAATTTTAAGCTTGGATCAACATTTTGGCTTGTAGTGAGTTGATGAAGAATGTTGAGAGGATGGATATGGACATGATTAAGATTCCTATGGTTTCATTATCTCGAGTATACTAATGTATTTTATCAGCTAGTTTTAGAAGACTTAGGCTTCATTTAGGATGTTTTTTTTTTTCTACTTCTTAAAGCTGTTTTTTAGTACAAAAATTAAAATTTTTGTATTAGAAAACCGCTTCAAAAAGCAGAAATAAAACCGTCCAAAACGAAGCCTTAGTGTCGTAAATTTAGAATCTAAATGCCTTAATCTTGCTTCTGTTGTTTAAAGAAACAGAAGCAAGCAACAACATGCATAGATGTTAGATTTTAGCTTTTCACCTCAATTCAATTCTGCAACGCAAATCTGTCCTTGTTTGTTTTATTTTGTAGTATCCAGAAACATGTATTACTTGTTCATCTAATGATTAAACAATGCAGGGAATCAAAAGTCAATGTAATTGATGCCAAGACAATGTCTCCTGAACCAGTGGCAGTTGTTGACCTGCCCTGCAGAGTACCATACGGATTTCATGCGTTCTTCGTCAACGAGGTTAGTGAATATAACTTCATATTAGACAAGAAAATAATAATAAAACAATAAAAAAGCTCTTTCTTGTTACTTAATACCTGCCAATCTGAAGTTAAATATAAACTCAGGCTTCGTTTGAGACAGTTTTTTAATTGCTTCTTAAAACAGCTTTCTAGTTTAAAAATTAAAATTTTTATACTAGAAAGTTGCTTGAAGAAGTAGTAAGAAAGTCTTCCCAAACGAAATCTTAATGTATTGCTTGGTGTTGTATATTATTTCCTTAACCTTACAACCCTACAAGCTTCCACCTGTTGGATTGAACTCCAAGCTTTGCATTTTTCTGTCACCCATTTTTTTTTTTCCATCTTGTCAAAAATCTTTTTTTGTTCTTATTAATATTGTTCGACAAGGCATTCAGGATTGAACTGCACACATCATCAAAAGAATTTTCATTCTTGTCATGTTATTTGGAAGGCTGAACATTCTTTTCCAAATGAAATTTGACAGGAGCAAATTCAGCAGCAGCAGCAGCAATCAGAAATATGATAAAAGCAGTGCCTATATATATACCAACGGAGTGATCAGATTACTGTTGAAAACAAATCCGGTAAACATCCTCAATAAAATGTGGATTTGCTGTCTATATTAATCAAAAACTGCTTGCTTATTATGTATAGAAATTAAACCTGCTGATGTGCAGAAATGTTGTAAAACAAGTGCCTGTTTTACAGGCTCTTTTTTTTTCTTATGGAACGGGTCATCAATGTGTTTTGTTTTTTTGTTTTTGGTTATTTAGTGCAAAACGCACATCACTTACACAAGATTTGAACTCAAAACTTCTTAGTTAGTAGCCAGAGCTCCCAACCAATAGATTAAGTTGATACCTTGTACAGGACCGATGGAACCTGGAAGACAAGTTAACAAGCACAGCAAAAGGAAAAACAGCTGGATAGAAGTGCCGCCTAAACCCTAAATCCGATTGCAAACTGGTAAGAAGTGCCGCCTTCCGGCTGAGAGCGTCTGCCACCCTGTTTTCATTTCCTGGCTTATGTTTTAGAGTGAACGTAAATCGTTGTAGAAAGAGGAGCCAACGGGCATGCATTATGTTGATTGTTCTTTGGGTATTTATGTGTTGCAATGCTTTATTATCACTACAAAGAATAAATTCTTGATGCAGCAGGTAAGATTCACAGTGTTTTAAGGCACGAACCACTGCATATAGTTCTTGTTCATAAGCTGTCCATTTTTGCCTAGATGGACACAGTTTCTCACTGAAGAAGGCCACGGGTTTGCCCAACTGTGATAGCACTGCTCCGATGCCAATGGCGGATGCGTCGGTGTCCACTGTGAACAACTGATCAAAACTTGGAAGCACTAAAACAGGTGCGGTTGTGAGAGCATCTTTGATCCTCTTAAAGCTTTGTTGTTGATCGGAATCCCATCGAAAGGATTTGAGCTTCAGGACATCTGTGATGGGAGCCATCATAAGGCTAAAATTCTTGATAAATCGCCTGTAGAAATTGGCGAACCCATGGAAGCTACGAACCTCAAAGAACGTTGTGGGTGTTGGCCAGTTTTGTAAAGCGGCAACTTTATCGGGATCCACATGAATACCATCTGTCGAGACTATGAAGCCCAAAAAACGAATGTGGGAGGTTGCGAAGGCACACTTAGGAAGGTTAATAAACAGTTTATGTTCCCTTAACAACTCAAAAAGAGATTTCAGATGTTGAATGTGTTGTTGCCGGTTATCACTATAAACCAAGATGTCATCAAAGTATACAATGCAGAATTTATCGAGGAAAGGTTTCAAAGCCTCGTTCATCACCCGCATAAACATTGAAGGTGCATTACACAGGCCAAACGGCATAACTTTCCATTCATACAGACCTTGAGGAGTTTTAAATGTTGTTTTCCATTCGTCCGCTGGCCGGACCCGAATCTGGTGGTATCCGCTCCTTAATTCTACTCTGGAGAAAATTGTTGATCCCGTAACTTTATCGAGTAGCTCCTCTATACGCGGCATCGGAAATCTATATTTGACTGTAATCTTATTGATCGCTCGGTTGTCGATACACATTCTCCAATTGCCATCTTTTTTTTGGTACTAATAGTGTCGGAACTGCACAGGGACTCTAACTCGTTTGGATGAGCTGCTTTTGAACTAAATCATCAACGATCCCTGCCAAGATCTGTTGTTCTTTCGGGTTGAGTTTGTAGTGTGGTAAGTTGGGCAAAATGGCATTGGGGTGAAAGTCGATTTGATGTTGGATGCTTCGGAGCGGTGGAAGTTCGGCAGGCAATTCGTCTGTACACACATCTGTGAACTGTTTGAGAAGATTTCAAACATCCTCTACTGGAGCTGTTTCGGATGGTTCCATAGCTGTCGACGTTTCCACAATTAGCAATGCAAACATAGGCGAGGGCTCTCGCCAACTTTGAAGTAACACAGGTCCTGAGACCAGATGAGCGGCGGCTTGTTTGGACTTCTCCTTAATTGATGCTGAATTTTCAGTTGTTCTAGGCAATAACCTCAACTTTCTGCCCTTCCAGTCGAGCGAGTAAACATTTGCTCTGCCTTCATAGCGTGCATCCACATCAAACTGCCATGGTCTCCCTAAAATCAGATGGCAAACGTCCATATCAAGCACATCGCATAAAACGTCGCAAACGTATTGTTTGCCGATGGAAAAGGATACCCGGCAAGATTCGGTGACCAAAATTTCTATGCCCTTTTTCACCCAGCTAATTTTATAGGGCTGGGAATGCTTAATTGTTTTAAGCTGTAGTCCTTGAACCAGAGACCTTGAAACTATGTTCTCTGTACAACCGCTATAAATTAGAAGATCGCACACCTTTCCTGCTATAGTGCACCTTGTTTTGAAAATAGCATGACGTTGGGAATTATTGGACTGTCTCAGTGCTAACAACAATTTTCTAGAATTCCAAGGAACGGCTCCCCCTCATCTGCCTGAACCTCTTCAATATCCTCTTCCAGCTCAAATTCAGCATGTTCAGGGTCCTCGCCTCCCTCAACTTCCGCTAATTGTACCTGCTGCCTCTGTGGACACTCATTGGACTTGTGTCCTGGTTGGAAACAGCGAAAACACTTTAGCGTCGTGGGCTTTGCGTATGGGCTGGCAAGAGGAGCGGTCTTCGGCTTTGGTACTGGCTTTCCGTCAATTCCATTACTGGAAGAGGCCGATGCTGATGTCGTCGGGGTTGTTCTCGGTAATACTTGGGAATTGGACTTTGTATGTGACTTTTGCCAATGGCGCCGGTTGTAGGGGGTTTTAGATTTACGGTTCTGTTGCACCTCCACCTTCATGGCTAAATTCACCGCCTGCGGCATCGACCAAACTGAATTCAGCTCCAACTTATCTTGGATGCTATCCTTGAGCCCCCGATATACCGAGCGACCACTTGAGTGGCCGATTCATGCAGATCACTCTGAGCGCTCAATCGATTGAACTCCTCCGTATACTCACTAACGGTGCGCGAGCCTTGGGTACAATGCTGGTACCTCATGTATAAAATATGCTCAAAATCAGTAGGTAGGAATTGAGCTCGCAATAGCTGTTTCATCTTTGTCCAAGTGCTGATGTAGCCCTGTCCTTCTCTCCTTCGGGTTTGCAATACCTGTTCCCACCAAGCACTAGCGCCTCCCTTCAAACGACAAGCTACGTATTTCACCTTCTTCTCAGGCACAATATCCATATAATTGAAAAAATTCTCGACGGACTTCTCCCAATCTAGATAGTATTCAATGTGTAAATGTCCGTCAAAAAACGGAATATCTAGTTTCACCTTGAACTCACCAGCCGGATGTTGGAAACGATGAAACCTTCTGTTTCGGTGATAATCTGTGTTGAATCTACAATCTGTCTCCCCTTCATTGGAATCCCTCGGATCATAATAGTGGCGGCGTGGAGGTGTTTCGTCTTCCGACTCGTCTTGGTCGGGTGTATTGATTTGTAAGTATCTCCTCTGTTGTCCGTCTTCATTCTCCCGTCGGAGAGCTCGCCTGTGCAGGTGTCTCTTCCCGATGTCGCTGAATCTATGCCGCCCTGGAGGGATTGAACCCCCGGCGAACTTCAACGGTTAAATGTTGAATCTCTGCCGCCAATTCGTCAATTCTTCGATTGACCTTTTCCTGATTTGTCCACAGCGCATCAATGGTGCAGACTTCCTCCCGAACTGGTTCCTTGCCTCTGTCCGTCATCCTTCTTCCAGCGATTGAGCTCTGATACCAACTGATACCTTGTACAGGACCGATGGAACCTGAAAGACAAGTTAACAAGCACAGCAAAAGGAAAAATAGCGGGATAGAGAAATACCTCTGTATTCTCTGTATTCTGTTGAGTAATAACTTTGTGTAAAGATAACAAAAACTGACTTTCTCTACTTCTATCACTTATATGTAATTCTCCTATTTCCCTCTTTTAGCTAATAAGTAAAAATGTACTAAAAGCAACAAACTATCAAAACAGAAAGTGCGGTAGTGGGGAATGAAAGTTTGTTAACCGTATGTAAGATGTTCCCCTGTTATTGAATACTTAACCTATAACCGGTACTGCATCAGTTGCGTGATCAGCAATGTGTTAAGTAGATTTTTTAGTTGAGCTAAAACTTCATTTTGGGTGGTTTTTTTACTGCTTCTAAAACCAACTTTTTGGTACAAAAATTAAAATATTTGTACTAAAAAGATGTTTTAAGAAGCAGTAAAAAAGTCATCCCAAACGAAGCCTAAATATGATGTGTGGTATGGATGATTGGTTTCTCTAAAATGATTGTCATCAAAATTTAGGATATATAAAAAATATAGATTAAATATTGATAAGAAAATTTGATGGTGAGATGTGGAGCTACAGAGAATGTTATAAAAAAAAAAATTTACAAATAAAAAAATTGACAGAGATGAAATATTATTGAGGCTTGTTATGTTTATAAGAAAATCACACATCTTGTGAGAAGTGCAGTGAAGAGAGCAAAAGCTTTGTATTGTTAATGATGTGAAAGATTGTTTGCATATGAGATAGTTTGGATTAATAAGATATTCACAGAAATGAGAAATTAGGTTTGGTTTGGGATAGTTATTTTATAGTTTTATTCTTCGATTTCAATCCTAATTTTTATTTGGTCATTGTTTTTTCACTGCTTTCTATAAATTTTGGTACCATGAAGTTATTTTTTATAGTAACTTTTAAAAAAGATTTTTTCTTCGTAACCGTTTTACAATCACTTTCATAAACGTTATAGCAGTTTTAAATAGACCCTAAGTGAGTGTGACATTAATAAAATAAAAATTGATCATATGATATATACAATGTAAATTGATCATTGATATTTTTCACTTGATTAATTTATTTGGTGTCTCTCTCTTGCATGTTGGATGATTAGGTTGCCAAACTTTAATTATCTCATTTGGTGATGCTTTCTTGCTAACTATCTTCAACATAATCCTCTCTCTCTCTCTCTCTCTCTCTCTCTCTCTATTCAGCTCTCTCTCTCTCTCTCTCTCTCTCTCTCTCTCTCTCTTAAAAATCTAAAATTACACACAAGTACACAACCATTAGCAAAGCTTATAGCCAAACCTCCTCAATCTAAATCTTGAGGTAAGTATTCTCAAGTTTCCCTTCCCTCATAAATCCAAGTTCCATTTTTTAATTTTCTATGGGGATTCTCCTACATCTACAATATAAGTGCTAAGTCGAGCATTTTTTTTAATTTCATCTCTCTCATAGATAAGTTTCTTTTTGTAAACCATCCTACATGTCTTCCTCTACCTCTATAACATCTCTAACCCTAATTTTCTCCTCAAGCATCTTAGCCAAGTCCATAAACCCAAAGATCCATGCCCTTTGCCCAATCCTCAAAATAAGTAGCAGAATCTTACACCTTTCAGCCAAATCAATAATCTCTAACCTTCGTCAAATAACCCAATAACCTTCGCAGTACTGTCCTACCTCTTTCTAAAATCAGAGAGAGAGAGAGTTTTCAATCCAATTTCATTGTTGCCTAGTATTCAACATCAATTTTTTGTCAACGATGTTGCATATTGTGGTGCATAGCCTAATATTGGATGTCGATCAACATCAATTCATCATCAACTACTATCCAATTCCAGTCGTCGACCAATATTGTTGCCATCGTCACTTATCCACATTAAGCCTCTACTCACCAATATCATCCAATATTTATAGTCAACTGATATCTAACACTCAACCCATTCCTTTGCCAACATCAAATATCTCCTTACTAATATGTAGCTAAAAATAGATAATTGTAAGAACTTTAAGGCTTCGTTTGAGACAGCTTAATTACTGTTTCTTAAAGCAATTTTTTAACTACAAAAATGGTCTAAACTAAAATTTTTTGCTAAACGCTATTTTAGAAAGTAATAAAAAAGCTGTCTCAAATGAAGCCTAAATATGTGAATCGACATAGAACAAAATAGCCTGAGCAAGTTTTTTCTTAATTAACACAAGCTTACTATTACATCTACATGCTTTTGATCATTGAATTGTTTTCTAGGAGATAGAATATTTTTATACAATAATAGCAAACTATGTCTATTATTTTCTTTCAATATTAAATTTGATTCACAGATCTCTGCAAAAATTTTCTTTCTTGATGACTATCTGACATCAAATTCTAATTCCTCAATCCTAATTTTATCTTTAATAAAATTCATAAATTTCAAAATTAATCCTATATAAAAAAATTATCAAATAAATAATTAAGTCATTAGTAAGCTAATCTTTTATTTGTTTATGTATTAATTTTTTTTTTAATTTTCCCAAATTTATTCAATTAATATTTAAATAAGCAAACATAAAGAACAATTTGACTTTATATGTCTAATAATACACACAAATTTTTGAACATTGGTTTGAATATTTGTTATAAACTTATAATTGAATAAATATAATGGAGTTCATTTTGATCGAAATCATAGAACCGCTATGTGATCCTTGAGGAAGGCATTATTTGATTAACACATGTGGATAAGACGAAGATTTGACTTAGTTTCAATAAAGTTCAATTATGTTCAAATAAAAATTCAAATAATTATTTGAAATCCAAGCATTTCAAACAAAATTTGCTGACAATAAATTTTAATAAGTGATGTATCATCAAAAAGTTATCTTGACCGGGCACGAATTTCAAGGCAAAATTAAGTTGGAAACTTTCAAAATTAAAATTGGGACCATCTGAACTCTGATTTCAGTAAACTTGTAGTCGAATTGGACGTATTAAAAATACGAACCCAATGACACCAAATTTGACTCAATCCAAGTCCAAATGTGTCCAAATCGAAGACCCAAAGTGTATTTGGAAGGTTCAAACCAAAATTTGGATTACCAAATGATTTCCAAACATGACATGTTTATAGTCTAATCGAGTGGCTCGACGAGAAGAATCAAACGAGCCCAAGATCACCAATTTTTTATAATATTGAGTCATTCAAATGCCCAATAAACATTTCACAAACAAGGGAATCAACATGGGCTGTCCATTTAAACCACTCTCAACTTACCCTTGAACTCTCTCTTATTTACTAGTCATGTCACTCTCATAAAACTATAAATAGATCATTCATTTCTCATGAAAAAGGGACCCAAGCAAGGTAGAGAAAGGAAGAAAGAGAAACTAGAATTCTCTCGCCACCAAACTCCTCTACCATCGCTGGACTTTCGCCTGGCCATCGACTGACGTCGGACTTCCGTCGGGCCACCGACTGATGTCAAACTTCCGCCCGACAAATGAACATCACCAGACTTCCATCTGAAATCCACTCGTCACTAGATTTCAACCCGACGGTTGATTGTTATAATTTGATCGTCTTCGGTCGGATCAATCATTTGTAATCTATTCAAACATTAGTGGAATCATTTCAACTTACGTGATCTCATGGTTGTTCCCTTTTTTAAGGCTTTTTACATAAAAATTCTAGTGTTTCTTTTCTCGTCTATTTGTATGCTGGATATTCGTATAACGCTGAGACGAAAAATTTTAACTCTATCGACGCGTATCTTCTAGCCCGCAATAATAAGTAATTCTTGAATATAATGGAAAATACTTTATTAGAAATGAGTTATCAAGCATATTTAAAAAAAAAAACAACTATGCCATACGAAGCCAAATTTCTCAAAAATTATTAGTTGCGGACACCGGATGTAGAGATACGTCCGGACGTCCACTTAAAATGTGACACATGGAGTGCACTTTTTTCTCCACCTTATCTACCACTTTCATTGCGCTTTGACTGTTCTTTTATTGTGCTTTGATTGTGATTTACATGTACTTTACCTACGATTTGGCTACGCTTTTGATGCGCTTGGCTTAAACTTCTGCGGGCACATTAAATATATATAGTAAAAAAATAAATCCAATTGAATATTCACATGTCCACTCCACGTGTCAATATTTTATTGGAGTCTAGACGTAACTCCTCGCCTAATAATTTTTCAAATTTCTCTGAACTATATATTTTTAGGTCAATTAAGATAAACTCTCACACACATCACATACATAAAACTTAAATCTAAAATTTTTTAGTGGATAACCTAAGCTTTCAATCAATAGAACAAAATGAGTTGTGTGGAGAAACAGGAAGCACATGCTCTCATAAACTGTATTCCTTGCCATGACAAGAAATGATACAATATCGGCCCAAAATGCAGTTGGCCGGCAGCAGCCCAGGTTCGTCAAAGGCCCACAATTTGGTCCGAGTCAAGATTCTCTGTTCCCAGCCTCAGTTCGCCATGCGGCGATCGATCGTACGTTCTCTTCTCTTCTCTTCCTCCAGTGCAGTCCCAGCCACCATGGCTCCTCTACCTCCCCTCCTTCTCCGCTACCTTGTCGTCATCCTCATCCCCCTCTTCCTATTCTTCTCCTCCGCCTCCGCTTGGAAGAAGGACGAATTCCGCAACTGCAACCAGACACCGTTCTGCAAGCGCGCTCGCACCCGCACTCCTCACTCTCTGCCTCGTCTCATTGTCTCCGATCTCTTGATCTCCGACGGACACCTCACTGCACACCTCCAACCTTCCCTTAGCTCCGAAGACGACGTTTCCGCCGGTGATACCCCTCACCCTCGCCCACTTGTCCTCCGCCTCTCCGTCTACCAGGACGGTATCCTCCGCCTCAAGATTGACGAAGACTACTCCGCCCCCTCCGCTCCTTCTAAACAAAGGTTCGAGGTTCCTGATGTCGTTCTCCCCGACTTCGAAGACCGCCGCCTCTGGCTTCCCCGCGTTTCTTCCACTGAAGACGGCTCGATTTCTTCCCTCTATCTCTCGGACGGTTTTGAGGTCGTGTTACGACATGATCCTTTTGAAATCCAGGTCCGACGGAAGAGATCTAACGATCCCATAATCTCGTTAAACTCGCACGGGCTGTTCGAATTCGAGCAGCTTCGGGAGAAGAAGGAGGGAGAAGATTGGGAGGAGCGGTTTAGAGGACATACCGACACGAGGCCGCGCGGTCCTCAGTCGATAAGCTTCGATGTTTCGTTTCATGGCGCAGAGTTTGTGTATGGAATCCCTGAGCACGCTTCCACTTCTTTGGCGCTTCGTGCTACTAGAGGTCCTGGTGTGGAGCATTCTGAACCCTATCGGCTATTTAATCTCGATGTCTTCGAGTATCTACATGATTCACCTTTTGGGCTATATGGGTCTATCCCATTTATGCTCTCGCATGGTCTGAAAGGTTCCTCTGGATTCTTTTGGCTCAATGCCGCTGAGATGCAGATTGATGTGCTTGCCCCTGGATGGGATGATTCGGCTGCTGCAGGCAACGATAGGATTGACACGTTTTGGATGAGTGAGACAGGGATTGTGGATGCTTTCTTCTTTGTTGGCCCGGGGCCTAAGGATGTTCTTCAACAATATGCTAGTGTGACTGGAACTCTAGCAATGCCGCAGGAGTTTGCCATTGCTTACCACCAGTGTAGATGGAATTACAGAGATGAAGAAGATGTTGCTACTGTTGATGCTGGTTTCGATGAGCATGACATACCTTATGATGTACTGTGGCTTGACATCGAGCACACTGATGGGAAAAGGTATTTCACTTGGGACAGAGTATTGTTCCCTAATCCAGAAGAGATGCAGAAGAAATTGACGGCCAAAGGGAGGCACATGGTTACTATTGTAGATCCTCATATCAAAAGAGATGATTCCTACTATGTGCATAAGGAAGCTACAGATAAGGGGTATTATGTGAAGGATGCAACAGGTAAGGACTTTGATGGCTGGTGCTGGTCGGGTTCATCATCATACCCGGATACGTTGAACCCGGAGGTTCGGGAGTGGTGGGCTGAAAAATTCTCATTGAAGAACTATGGAGGTTCAACACCGTCTTTGTATATATGGAATGACATGAACGAGCCTTCAGTCTTCAATGGCCCTGAGGTAAGTTTGACAGCCGCTTATTACATCACCTAATCTTTCAGAATAGCTATCAGACTCATTGAATTACATGTAAGGACCATCCTTTCTAGTCATTCGGAAACTCGGGAGTAATTTTGTTGCTATTGGACTAATTTTCGATAATTTTATTGCTGCACAAATCCTCATCGTCCTTAGTCATATGCAATCTATTTTAAGCATATATCATTTTGCACACCATTTAGTCATGTTTTTATTTTGGCATACTCTTTTTTTCTTTTTAATCATTGGTATTAATTTTATGTATCTATCATATTGGTGCATCTTTCAACTTTGTTTGACATGTCTAAAATTCATAAATTCCGAGTTTTGCCGTTATATTCATCATGGTGCTCTTATTTTGTCTTATTTTGCTATCAATGACTTTTTTTAACGACCGAACACTTACTTCTGTATAAGTTAGCTGATCATTTGCATTAAAAAAAATTATGATATTATTTTGTTGCATTGTCACCCTCAATCTCACATTCAATCTATGATTTTTGTTAAATTTTAAAATTTAGAAAGAACAAAAAAATGATTAGAAATAGTGGCTTTTCATTCAAAGAAATAAATACTCTATCCTTACTTTTAGGATTGATTGATAGATATATAAGTGGAAATGGGGAATTGCTCTTGATTTAAATTCTTCAATTAGATGCCAAAAAAAAAAAAACCTACCAGAATGTATAAAATTTATTTGTAATGCATTTCCTCAAATTCCTTTGCCATTTTTTGTGGAACTAAAATGTAAAAACTTTGTTTTCTTTTTTCTAGTTGAGATCCATGTTGAGTTTGCGAAGCTACAACAATTCCATAGGCACTGGTGAACTAGAATTTCAATTTCATACACAATTTTTATCAAATCAAGGGCCATAACTAGTTAGCTGGAGATGATGCTACAGGAGCTGCTCTCCTGTGTATGGGAGTTTTTTAGGACATATTATTGCCCATGAACTTATCAGTTAACTGTAGATGATGTTCAGGAACGTTCTCCTTTGAGGCTTTGTTAAAAAAATGAAAATGACCAGCAACAAATACTAAAGTTTGAGGACTTTGTTTCACCGTACAACAAAATGGTTGCATTTGATTCAAGGAATTATTTTCCTGCTTGAAGAATTCACTTTTTTTTAATAGTTTATGCAATGTATTTTAAAGTCTATCCTCGAGGTTCGTTTAAGCATACTTTAAACTATGCTGGAGTTTCTCCATTTCAATATTGTCACAAGAAAACCTTGTTTCATTTAAGTTGCCTTTGAGATTTAAATCTATGTGCATGAAATATCTAAGAGTAAGCTAGGTCCTTTATTATCCTTAAAAGAGCTGGTGCATTGCAGAGTGTTATTTTCCTTAGAGGCAGAAGTGAAAGTAGCTTAATTTTGAATATTGTGGCTGCGAGTCTGAAGCACAATAGTTCAAATACCAAGAGGCTATTTTTTCCATTTGGAAGAGAATGCCTTGCAATCTGGTCAATTTGATCCTTATCAAAAAATCCAACCTAAATTGATGTCAAGAAACCAATACTATCGTCCCCCTTGCTAACATTTTACCTACTTGAATGCTTCCACCAAGTGTATCTCTTGTTGATAGTTATTGACATTGCTATTCTTGTTTTCTATCGACTCCTTTATTGCTCACTCAATTAAATAATTCATCTTCTCATTGTTGTTGCCAATCTCAATTTAGTTTCTCATCCCTTCTTCAATTCTTAATGCCTCTCTTCATTTTCCAATTTGTTGCACTTCTTTTGTAAATTCCTTCTCCTTCCCCTTCTTGTCTCTTGACTGCCTTTTCTTGCAATAACTCCTCGCTTAACAACCCTTGTTTCTTTCTATTCACCATGGCAACAAGTCCTCCATTCTATCCAGTCACCAGACCCCTAATATTTAAGGGATATTAGCTCGACCTAAAATATGACAATGATTTTTGGATTCAAAATAGGTCAATACAACCCAACCTGAATGTTGATGTTGCTCAACTGCTATGTACATTGTAATTCTGGTTGGTCCAATTTAAACTTAACTTATTTATAGTCATAAAAAAAATTTTGCCATGCATTTTAGCTCTGGCCATGAACATGATGGTATGATTTATTGTTTTAAACTTTCAATCAAATACTCTCCATTCTACATACTCATATCTTGTGCTAAAATCACATGGAGTTCATTTGTTGAGTTTTATTTTATTTTATTTTTGTGTAGTTATCACTACAGTAGCTCGTGATATTCATAATATTATAAAGAATGCGGTTAGAATATCAAAAAGAAAAATTCCTAATAATAAAAATAGTTGGTGATGGAGTCAAAATGTGCAAGAAAAGATACAAAAATAAGAAGCTTTGTTATAAAAATTGGTTTAGACATAAAAACTCTGAAAATTGAGAAAGATATAAACATGACCGTAAGGAGTCTAAGAAAGCATATGCGATGTAATTATTTGAGTTTTTAATGATTTATATAATAAATAAGAAATTAGATACTAAGGAAGATGAAAGATATATGTATAAGTTAGCCAAACCAAAAAAAAAGGAGTAGTAAGGATTTAGTTCTAGTGAAGTGTATTAAGGATGAAGATCAAAGTGTTTTTCTTAGAAGAGGATATTCAACAAAGGTAGATAAGATATTTTGCTAAGCTTTTCAATGAAGATTGTGAGAATATGATTGACTTTAGTGATCTTAACACCCTAAATAAAAATATAGAATTTTGTTTTTATAGGTGTATTAGTAAAGTAAAAGTTAGAGAGGCTTTAAAGAAAATGAAGCTTGAAAAAGCTGTTGGACTTGATGATATTCCAATAGAGATGTGAAAATGCTTAGGAGATAAAAGAATTCCTTGGTTTACTAAACTCTTTAATATTATTTTTAGGATTAAAAAGATGACAAATAAGTGGAGAATGAGTGTGTTGATTCTTATGTTTATGTGTAAAGGTAAAGCACAAGATTGTGCGAATTATAGAGGAATTAAGTTAATATGTCATACTTCAAAACTGTGGCAGAGAGTTATGGAGCATAGGTTACAAAGTGATACTAATGTTTCTCAAAATTAATTTGGATTCATTCCGGGTAGGTCTACTATGGAAGTTATACATTTATTGAGAGCTTTGATGGAGAAGTGTAAAGAGAATAAGGAGGATCTACAAATGATATTTATTGATTTAGAAAAAGCATATGACAAACTCCAAGCAAAGTTCTATGGAGAGTTCTAGAAAAGAAAGGGTTAATAATGCTTATATTCAAGTCATTAAGGATAAATATTCAGGAGCTGCTACTTGTGTTTAAACAAAGGTGGTTTGACCAAGTATTTTACTATTTCAATTGGATTACATCAAGGATCAACATTAGGCCCATATCTTTTTGCTTTAGTCATAGGTGTTCTTGCTAGACATTTGCATGACATTGTACGCTGGTGCATGCTTTTTGTTGATGATATTTTTCTTGTTGATAAGAGTAGAGAGAGTTGAAGGTAAACTTAAATTATGGATTTTAACCTTAGAGTCTAAAGGTTTTCATTTGAGTAGATCTAAAATTGATATATGGAGTGAAATTTTTAGTATTAATAGATCTAGTGGGCGATTGTGACTTCAAGGTCATTTTAGATATCTTGAGTCTATTGTTTAGAGTGATGGTGAAATGGATATGGATATTATTCGTAGAATTCAAGTTGGATGGTTGAAGTGTAGAAATGCATCGGGCTTGTTGTGTGATAGAAAAGTCCCCCTCAAACTTACGGGAAAATTCTATAAGATGTTGGTGAGACCTGCAATGCTTTATGGCACAGAATGCTAGCCATTAAAAGAGAAGTATAATATTAAGTTTAAGTGTTGCAGAGATGAAGATTCTCATGTGGATGAGTGGCTTTACTTTTAGAGACAGGATACGAGACATGCATATAAGTGAAAAGGTTGGAGTTGCTCCAGTGGAAGATAAGATTAGAGAGAGTCGCCCTAGATAGTTTGGTCACATAAGACGGAGGCCTTCGATGACCTGGTTAGGAGAGTAGATGTATTAGATTTGGCTTACATTAAGAATGGTAAAGGTAAAACTAAAAATACTTGATTAGAAAATATTAGAAAATGACATTTCTTTATTAAATTTAAATGAGAATTTGACTCTTAATAGGACACAGTAGAGAAAAAGGATTCATGTAGCCGACCACATGTATTGGGATAAAGTCTTGATGTTGGTGTTGTGGTAGTGGTGGTGGGTTTTGGTTATGTTAGAGTGGGGTGCACTTTTCATATTGAATTGATAAGTTTTGCATTCATTTGACGATTTTATGGTGGACTATTCGTTTAGTAATATTATTTTTATCATTTATGCGATTGTAATTTCTTTTTCTTGAATTCATTTTTATGGCATCATTTACCCTGTGAGTTTTCTCATCTATACTCAATTTCTGCGTTACCTCATACAGTTGTGGATTTTTGTTGTTCAATGATGTTAATTTTGATTTATGTGACTATCATATTTATTAATTTTAGAGCTTGTTTGAGAGTTTTTTTATAGCTTTATTTTCAGGACAATTGCCACAATTATATATGGCTACATTCTTTTTTGTCTTCTGTATAAATTTTTGTGACTGGAAATTACTTTTTACTTCCAGATATGTTAAGCGTATTATAGTTATAAGAAAGATACTGTTTTTCAAAAGGGGACAATTTGAAAATGCCTTCAATAACTTTCTAAAATTTGCTTTTATCGCAACAGTTTAATTACTGCAGTCGTACCAAATGGACCAAAGTGTGGGCGTTTTAATTTTCATGTTAGGGTGAATAAATAGATTTCTGCTTGTGTGTCTGGCTGTGGAATACTTCTGCCATGTCGGGCTAGTTTTGTACCTACCATCCAATATGCTTTCAATTATGCCTGCAATATCAATATTCTTTTCCTATATGCTTTGACTGAAAATTTATCAGATCTTTTCATTTTTTTAGGAGGCAATCCATGTGCTGATCTTGTCGTTTCTTTTTTTTGGGCTTGGAATTCATTTAATCTTTCTTATGGCTTCTTTTCTTTAGTTCATACGAATTTCTTTGTGCCTGTACTATGATAAGCCTTAAATTTTCTGTATAAGTTTTTGTCACACATTCTGCATGAATCTATCGCCTTCTATTCATGGGAAGAATTGACATTATGCTTTCATGCTAGTATTAGTAACCGTATTTCCTTAATTAGATATCAATGCCAAGAGATGCTTTACATTTTGGAGGCGTTGAGCACCGGGAGTTGCATAATGTCTATGGCCTCTACTTTCATATGGCCACAGCTGATGGACTATTGAAGCGCGGCAATGGAAAGGATCGTCCTTTTGTTTTATCTCGAGCTTTCTTTGCTGGAAGCCAACGGCATGGTGCTATCTGGACAGGAGATAATTCTGCTGACTGGGATCAACTAAGATCTTCAGTTCCAATGATTTTGACACTGGGGCTTACTGGAATCTCATTCTCAGGTTTTAAGGCATTGAACATTATTAACTGTCGTTCCAATTATGATTTGGTTGAAAAAAAATATTTTGTTGTTGTGTAGGTGCGGATGTTGGTGGGTTTTTTGGCAACCCCGAACCTGAGCTGTTGGTGCGTTGGTACCAGCTAGCTGCTTACTATCCTTTCTTTAGAGCTCACGCCCATCATGACACCAAGAGAAGGGAACCTTGGCTTTTTGGGTAATGTTTTTCCTTCCATCTAATTTGCAATTTGTCGTAAATATATTTTGGTGGTGTTGTTGTTGTTGTTGTTGTTGTTGTTATAGTACTTCATTGCAATACGGAACTGATTGTTGGGCCTCTTAGATGCTCATTTTATTCTGTTATCTTAGAGAGTGCAATTTACTTGTTCGTCTTCCAATGGTAGTCTTACACCAAGAAATCTAGTGATTGAAGGTTGCACGCTGTTAGTTCTCAGAAAGTGTTGAGATTGTTGGTCAAATAATGAGCTATCTAGTGATTGTTGGTCAAATAATTATATTTGATTTCATGAAAGCACATAACCTTCTAATGTTGAGCAAAGAAGCAAGAAGTAGACGAACCTACATCAAAAGGTGTTGACCTCCACATCAGCTCCAATAAATAAATAAAAAACATCTGCCAAAATCCTTGTAGAGCTGACGCCCCATCCCTTATCTCTATCGTAGATCTCGCTCAAGCCCCACAGCTCTGCAATTCGGCGCTGAACCATCACTTCTCGCAGATCGCATTGCTCTCTTCAATCTCTGCTCCTGCCTATGTTAAAATGAGGAGAAATTATTACGTGTGGAGTCCAGATGTAGAAATACGTCCGAACATCCACTTAAAATGTGACATGTGGAGTGCACTTTGGTTGCACTTTTTTGTGCGCTTTACCAGCGCTTTAATTGCGCATTGATAGCTCTTTTGTTGCACTTTTTGACTTGTTGACCTCTAAGTATTAACCAATAGAACAAAAAAAAAGAGAAAGAGAGAGCAACTCACCTCGTAGCTCGTCGAATCACTGAAATACCGCATACCTCGTACGTCGTCGAAGTCCTGCTCGAATCCCGGATATCCTGCTGAGCACCTCGGACTGTCGAACCCACAAAACCCGCTGAAATCGGCGCCGCTTCTGTCCAAACCCCGTAAATCCTCGATCCGTACTTCGCTCGCGTCGTTAAATACATTGTCACACAAAGCTTCGGCTGCTCTTCCTTCCCACAGACGCAAATCTCTGCTCCATCTTATCCTCTCCGCGTGCCTTCTCAAGCCCGACGACTTCACTTATTCTGTTCGGACGAAAGTTCCGATACTTTGATCGGAAGCTGCCACGGGAATCCGCTCGCGTGCGGTTAACTTTCTTCCTTTCAAAGGCTTCTTCGTCGACCCCTCTGCCCTACGCTCCCTCCTATCCTCTCCGTTCTGTACCGACCAAGCAGAAGAGAGAGAGAGAGAGGAGAGAGAGAGAGAGAGAGGAGAGAACCTCATACCATGCCGAACCACAAGCCAGCCCCCTCCTTCCTGTGATCGGAAGTTTACGGCATTTTTGATCGGAAGCACGACAGAGCTGGCTGGAAGTGAAGTACTTTTCCCTCCTCATGCGCGTCCAACGGCAACCCGCAAATCTGCCGAGCCAGGGGATTTTTTTTTATTTATTTATTTATTTTATTATTCTAATATTATAAATAAACTAATTATAATTATATTAATTAAATATAATTAATTTAACTTATTTTTTTTTAATTAATCAAATTTATAAATCAATTATTATTGTTAATATTATTTTAATTTATAAATTAATAATTTTTAATATTAAGTATAATTAATTTTAAATAAATTATAACTTAATATTAATATGTTAATCAATATTTAATTAATTAAATGATAATATATAATTTTAATTATAATTAAATGAATGGATTAATTAGAATGATTATTTAATTATTTTTTTAAATAATGTTAATTATAATTAATAAACGAAAATATAAATATCCCTCCACTCTCTTACCTGACGTTTCGTGTCGGACCGGTAGACCACCTAAGCACGCCTTTGGTGCGCGTGGTAGGAGGGAACCCGGTGCGACACCTACGACGAGGGAGGCGAGTGACCCCTCGATCCACGTGCCAACCCCGACAAACCCCGCGGAGGTATGAAATTTTCTAAACTCAAAACTCTGTTTCAATGTTCGTGGCGAACCGGAAAACCGCCCCAAGCACGCCTTTGGTGCGCGTGGTGGGATGGGACCCCGGTGCGGCACCTACGGCGAGGCGGGGTCGCTCATAAGTACCTCCGAGCGGGGGGAAATGTCAAAAATTGCTATCTTTTCATAAAGTACTTTTTAAATCCTCATGTACGCCTTTGTTGGCCGTGGTGGGAGAAAAATAAAATACAACTGCCGCGGTGTCTCAACAACACCAACCGTGCACGCCTTTGGTGGCGTGGCGGGTAGGCGGCCTCTTGGTTTTTTCCCCTTAACGGGGGAGACGCCGGGAGGCTGCCGAAATTTGGATTGAAAATCCAAGGACTTGGAGCAATTTGGGACCTGGACTTAATTGAACTGAAAGGACATGCAAGAGCTATATTGAACAAAGATCCGAACTTGAACTTGGTTGAACCAAATTGACTTAAGTGAACTCAAACCTTAAATTAACCACAAAAAAGCTTGAACTTCAATCAAACTTAAACAAAGACTTTGACAAGTTGGCGACAGACTTGTGGACTTAATTTAGACTCAAGCAAAACCAGAACTTTGACTTGAGATTGTAGTTTTGAACAACTACAAGAGAACTTGCACTCCAACAAAAGCAAAGGACTTATGAACAAAGATAGAACTTGATATTGAACATTCAAACTCAAGAGACTTGAATAATTTGGACCCAAATTCAAAGTAAATCATAACTTTGAACTTAGACAAAATGCAAAGATGAGCAATCAATAGAGAGTTTGGTTTAAATCATTATACCAAATTCCTAATTAAGGCTATAAAATGACTATTTCACTACAAAAGGATGATGATGTCAAATTAATTATAAACTATTTTTGAGGACAAGAAAATTGCAAAGGGGAGTCCATTTGCAAGCAAGTAAGGGCTCATCAAGTCTCAAAGCATTCAAATGAATACCGATGGATGGACACAATGCTTGAGATAAACAAAGCTTCAAGGGGAACTTGCAAGCAATCATCAACAAGGAAGAATTGACATATGACAACATGTTCATGATTTTCTAATATAAGATTTCTTTAGCAAACATTAAAGATTTGGCACTTTGGTTGGAGAGGTAATTGTCATCAGGCAAATTTACCATACAAGACTCCAAGTCATTTTCAAGTAACAAGCAAGTGGAACTTCATAAGTGGTGATGATTGAAGGGTTACATGGGTGACAATAATAAACACACGATGGAGTTGGTAGACTCATCGACGACTATATATAAAGAACGTAAAAGTTCCCCTACAACCTACATCAAACATCTCATATATGTAAACGACGAGCATCATGAGTATTAAATGACGTATAGTCAAAGGTTGCAAATTATCAGTCAACATGCAAGGGAAGATTGGTGATGAATGCAATCCATTCGGTAATCAGTGTTAGTATACAAAGTGGATGTGCTCGATCATCCCTACAAACCACTATAAGAAATTTATTTGACACAAAGTACACTACCTGCAAGCAAATGCTAAAAATACTACGATAAAGATGGACTCCTACAAGCCATTGCAGAAGATTTTTATGCATTGCATACCACTCATAAACAAAATATAGATATCACAAAATATCCCCACACGTGCACTATAAATTGTATACACATAGGTACACTAAAGGGGAAAGTACAATCCCAAACCCGCATGGGCCCCGGCGAGCGTGTTATTGGTACACACGTGACGTCTAGGGATGCTGCGCGGGTTGACAAGTGAATTCAGGTTCGAAACTGATCCTTCTATACGGGTCAATAGAAGTCGACAGGATTCAAACCATTAAGCAAATATAAAGTTGTGGCGACAGGTATATTTGCTTTAAAACTTTCATATTAGGTCTTCAAGGCCTACAACAATATGAATTCACTAATAAAGGTCTTGCCAGTAAGGACGTGGTACGTGTCCTCTAACCGGCAGTTTCGCCGTCAAATGGCACTGCAGGTAAACGGTTATGACCCGGGGCCCTCTGAACCGAGTGGTTTTGCCGCTAAATGGCACCACAGATACCGGTTATGGTTAGAGCCAATACGCTCCTTAATGGCGTTAAATCCTTGAGATATGAATCAATAGGATATGATTGATAGGGCACAAAGCCCTCTGTCAGCTAAGGTGGATTCAAATTTGTCCCCTTAGACAAACATTCAACCCCGGTCTATAAGGTCCCCTTGGACGAAGCAACCCATGGCTGCCGACAAGGATCCTTTTGTCAGGTTGGGTCGACTACCTCCTCTGACTAAGTAGACCAGGGACCATGATGGCCCGGGACGACGGAACCATGGGATCTTGATCGGGTCCATCATCCATTCCCCCACCATCCGCTTTAAGTGAACGATGGCGAAATTTCTATTTTAAATATAAAATTTTTCCCAAATATCCCAATCCAAATCTTCAAATCTTTCAAACCAAATTCTCAATTTCCAAATCCAATTTCTACCAATATCCTAAACCCATGTTGTTACTATATGCCAGATAACACGTATTCTCTACGTATCTGATTGACGACTAGCCTTAATCGAAAGTTCTCTCTCGTGATCGAGAGGGGTAATTAACTATAGGGGCTTGCGCCTATAGGAAACCAGAACTCAGATCATAAAGTCCTCGTAAAATGAGGGCGAAATCTCTGGGTAGTGTCTTATCTACAAACCCATCTGCCTTCCAAAATTTACCTCGGAACTTAATCAGTTAAAACTCCCTCACCAAAGAATAAAGAAATCGCGCGGCGGGGAGGCCGGGGCCGAATTTTCTGAGCCCACATGACTGCACTTTACTACGCTTTGGTTGCTCTTGGCATAAAGTTCCGCGGACACGTTAAATATATAAAGTAAATAATAAATCCAATTGAATATCCACGTGTCCACTCCACGTGTCAACATTTTATTGGAGTCCGGACGTAGAGGTACGTCCGGACTCCGCACGTAATAATTTTTTTAAAATGAGAGTGAAAGAGACCTTTGGCTTTTCTTCAACACACAAGAGCCTCCAGCCCCGACTCTTCTTCCCGCTCATGAGCATCTAGCCA